AAGTCGAAGAACAGGATTGTTGCCTTCATTCTTTTTTCCCTGATCTTTTTTGCTGCCTCGTTCAGAGTCATCACGTTGTCCAGTATATACCGGCCCGGGATAAAGCCAGCTTGGTCGATGTGAAAGCAGTTGTTCGTTAGTTTTGTCATCCTATTTGCGAGAGCCTTGGCGAGGATTTTATAGGGTGTGGTTAGTAAAGAAATGGGTCTGTAGTTCTTCAGGTCTTCTTTGTCTCCCTTCTTGTACAGCAATGAGACCACACTGGTGCTCAGTTCCTTACCTAGGCCTCCTTTTCGCATGCTTTTATTGAAAAAGTCGAGCAGGTCGTCTCCCAGGGTCGACCAGAAGCATCTCCAAAACTCTTTAGAGAGGTCGTCGATGCCGGGGGCTTTGTCATTCCCATCTGGGTCAGGGCTATGTGTAGTTCGGCTAGGGTTAGGGGTTTGTCCAGGCCTTCCGCCTGACTTATCGAAATGGTTTTGTCGAGGTACGAGAGCATGAGTTGGCGGGCTGCTAAGTTCGCTGTGGTCGGGGGTGAGGGTGTCTTTGATTCGTATAGATCTGCGTAAAATGACGTGGCTATCCTTACCATCTCAGGCCCTGTTGTTTTGGTGTTCCCTTGATCTGTTGGGTCTTTGAGGGCCTCTATCATGTTGTTCCTCGCGTTCGCTTTGATTTTGGAGAAGAAGAATTTTGTCATGGACTCGTTGAGTGCGTAGTCTGCCATCCTTGCTCGTAGTTGCAGACCTCTCAGTTCCCATCTTCTCCACTCATTTAGCTCTTCTTTGGTGTCGTCTAGTAGTTCCTGGTAGAATCCGCTGGAGGGATCTTCCGCCAGATTTGCTTCTGCAACCGATATTGCAAATTGGAGTTCTTCTCTTCTCCTCTTGCGGTCTCTAGCAACATGGGATTCCGCTGATACTGTCTGTGTTAGTTCTGTGTAGCTGTCGATGAACCATTGGTGAGTGTTTGTCTGTTTGGACTCTCGCTGTTTATTGAGGGCCTAGTTTTCTTTGACTGTTGCCGACATTCTTTCGGTATTTAAGAGGGAGTTATTCAGCCTGAAAAATCCCTGGCCTGTTTCGACTGGTACATTAAAGTTGAGCAGCAATTGAACGGGTTTGTGGTCCAGTCCTTTGAAAGCTGCCGATGGGAGGATATCGGCGTCGTTAACTGTGCCTAGTAGGCTCTCGGATATGAGGAAACAGTCTATCCTGGACGGTGATGTCCGGTTGACTTGTTTTTTCCTTATCTGGGAGAAGACCTTTTTGTCCGGGTGCATTGACCTGAGAGGGTCGATGAGTTCGAATTTCGTCATCAGGATCCGAATCCGGGTACCCGCTCTTGCGGGTCCCATTAGTGCTGTTCTTGAGATCCGGTCCAGGTTTGGGTCCAGGGTCGTGTTCAGTCACCTGCGATGATTATCGGCTGTGGCTTGGGGATGAGGGTTTTGATGTTCTCGAAGAAGATCAATCTTTCAGATTCCGTATTTGGTGCATATAGGTTGAGAATTCTCAGGTCTTCTTCTTGCCATTTAATGTCCAGCCAAGACCATCTCCCTTCCTCACTGTCCCCCTCGATGTTCAGGATCTGTCCCTCGGTCAGGATCTTGGATGTTTCGGGATGAGTATCGCCGTCCCTTTTTTGCTTTGGCCCTCTTTGTTGGACCACAATGCAAATGTACATCCCCCTACCGTTCTCTCCATCCTCTGCTGTATCTTTGTGTGGTTGTTCAGATTGGACAGATGGGTCTCTTGGAGGAGTATAAGATCGGGTTTGGGAAGATCCTTCCCCACCAGGCCCGTCCGGATATCTCTGAGCTTGTCTTTCTTGGTTAGAATGTTTCCTAGACCATTGACATTCCAACTTATTATCTGGAGCCCCTTTGCGTGCCAGACACCAGAGCTTTTCTCAGTTTGCTTTCTCTGAAAAAAACCCACCAGTAGCTCTTACGCACATGACAGTCGTAGTTCAAATTTGAAGGGGGAACTAGTGTGTAGCGATGTATCTGATGCCGGATTCAGGGCGAAGAGGTTCCTCCTTCCTTCCAATATCCTGCTCAGTCAATCCCCTGGATCCCAGGGTAATCAATGCTGGCAGGAACTTCCCACAACTGTTTTCTGAGGTACTTCAAATTCAATTTGTATAGGGGACGCTGGACCCGCTTTCCTGCAGGTGATGCTCCCCACCAATAGATGGAGCCTCTCCCCAGGTGCTAGTGGTGTCTGCTCTTATCAGCACCACTAACACTGGTGGGGATGTGTTAAAAAAAAAAAAAAAAAACAAAAAAAAAAAACAGCCTAAGTGAAGCTGTGAGGCTGAGCTGCAGTGAAATTCGGCCAGGAGTCAGTGGTAGGAAAAGAGTATACTGTTCAGTGCCAAGAGTGGTAGAGCTCTCTTTGGTTCATTCTACAGGGGAGCATTGTGCTGCTCCGCCCAGAGGGGGAAGTCGGTGGAGCATTTGCAGGAGAAGGTGAAACTGGAGGGTGAATGTGAAGACCTCCATGGCTATGGAGTAGTAGCAGCAGTAGGGCTAAGACCTGGCTATGGTGACAGAGTGTAAAGTGCCCCATGCCAGAGGGAGAAGAGGGGAAGTAGAAGGGAGTAGGAGGTGAGGAAGATGGAGAGTGAGAGGAACCGACGTAGAAAGACTCACCTTGGCTATGGTCGACCTTCATCTTCACTTTGTTGGTTGGTGCTGCATCAAGAAAGCCCCAGCGCGGGTCCTGGTTGGTCTTGGACATCTTCCGAGAGTGTGGCTATGGCGGGAGGGGAGGGGACCAGCGCAGTAGTGTTTGCGTTGTCCTTCCAACATCCGTGATGACTTTGTGTGTTCCACCATAGCCCTGGGTTCTACAAGAGGAGGGAAGTGAGGTTAGGGCTGAAAGGTGGTTTCTTGAGTTGCTGGCAGTAAGGGGGAACACTCAGACATGAGTTCTGTTCGGTCATTCCTTTGCGGTTGCATTTTATTGATTATTAAGAGCAAGGAAGAAAACAAGGGATGAGGAGGAAGGAGGGGGAAAACATTGGTGTAACTTGTGGAATTCTTCTTCTTCTTTGTGAGGAATGTCCTCATGGGGCCCTAGACAACATGCATATGTCCTGGACTGTGGCCCCCAGGAAGCCTCATGCCCGCCCTAAGTGAAGGCAGGCCTGAATATCCACGAGAGGCCCTTATCTCAGCATTTTCCAATGTTGGGTCTCAGACAGTTGCTGCATGCCAGTTGGTTGAAGTACAACCTGGGCCTCACTCTGGGCTCTTCTGGAAGAAGCAGCTGCGTCAGGAAGTTGAGCCCAGGACGCAGTCGGTTGCGCCCTGGGCACATGCAGTGTGAGGCCGACACATCACGAAGTGGCCATGGGCCAATTAGAATGCAGCATTGTCGTCACATCTACCCCGCAGGCCAATTCAAACACAGCACAAATTCGGAGCCTGGATAATCCTGGGTGTGCCCAACTGAAAAGGGCCCAGGCCCTCAATTGTAGACATGGGCCTGGGCGCAGACACTGGGGCCCGACCAGAAGCTACTGGAAACTTCCACGGCCACGCCCAGACAGTCGAATAGCAGCAGCGACTCCCATATAGGGAGAGGGCCAGCCAATGAACAGCATTCTGGCCTAGGCAGGCACTGCGGACACGCTGCCGCAATTCAGCGCAAGTGTCTGCATTGCGCTAGCGCTGGCTGGGGCACGCACGGGCGCTGAGTGGTGTGTGGCACTGCAGGGCAGCGGGGCGCCAAGCGGCCATAGCCGGGGTGCAGAGGCGCAAGCGGGTGAAGGGTGACGGGGGTCTTCAGGAAGGAGGCGCAGGTGTGGGTGGACGAGGGTGATGAGGGGAGTCGAGAGAACGTACCTGGTGTATGTGGGAGGTCGGCATTGCTGTTGACGTCATGTACATTGGTTCTTCAGTGTCGAAGTGAGCCTGTTGCAAGAACGTAGGTAGCCTAGGTAGGATGAGTAGAGTAGGCTGGGCGCTGCGCGCCAGACAGTAGGAGCAACATTGAATACTTCGTTGGTGTGGCCTGAGGGCTTGGACATTGGCTCACGAGTTCTCTGTATCGCTCTTGTTTGGATGGAATCTTGATGCATTTGATCTCTCTGCTTGTTACATGACCATCTGGACTTCTGCGTGATTTTGCAACTTGGTTTCTGTTTACCTCTCTCGCTCATATTCCTTGCATCTTTGATTCCTTCCTTTTTATTCTACTCTTCCTCTCTCTCCTTCTCTTCTTTTGAATTTTAGCAAGTCTTGCATTTCCGCAATTTGAATTTTGTATTATGAATGGAGTAGGATCATAACACCTGTATACAGATCCCAATTATGCTCACGATTTCATTTCGTTCCTTATCTAAATTTCCTAGGCTCTATGGCTTCTTGTCTCACACATCGAAAGGCTTCCTTGTCCCTTGTAATACGGCGGTTCCTTTTTACTCAGGGCACTTCACATCTAATATCAGAGAGGTACAGACAGCGGCTGAACTTCTTGCGTGCTTCCGACAATGGCGACAACTCTCTTGCTGTGGCTGTTTATGTTCTTCTGCTTGATCTTCTTGTCGTTATTGGATGAAACGTTCTGTGTCTTACAGTGATGTCACTCATTGTATTTTTGCTTTGTCCTCCTATCGAGTCAAAACCTACTCAGTCACCTTCCTTGTAACTTTGTGCCTAGGTTCTAAGAGGTGTAACTGAGCAATCTTGATCTCTGTTTGTCCTTCAATCCCATGAATGTTCCCAATATGCTCTCTGTATCTTTCACTTCCCACCCAACTCCCATGTTGAACACCTTTCCCTTCGACCCATCAACCCTTCTCTCACAGTCTCTGAATGTGCCAATTAACCTATCCTCTCATCCAATCTTATCCTCGCCAATCAACTCCTCGTCCTTCTTCCATCCTCCTAACTCATTGCTTTGCTCCATATGTACATTGGGGCACGAAGAACGATGATGCGCACCATCTTCTACTATTGCGTGCTGATAGAACGCTCATGCTCTCTGCAGATGCATTGGATGGGGAGGCAGCAGTTCGCCTTGTTCATTCAAAGGTAAATGCATGTCTGAAACAATGGTCAGGAGGGAAAGGAGGAGCAACTGAGCCCAACGATCACAAAGATGAGGGGACTGCTGATCAAGGACGTGAGAGGGAAGTCTATGACTACTCAATAGTTCTGACTCGCGCAAATGAGAGTGGATTCTTTGAACATCGTGATGTGAAACGACTCCTATGTGGTGAGTTTGGTTGCTCTTTGTGCACCTGACGTGGCATGAAAACATTCTTGAATCTGGATGGAATTTGTCAGAGGTTGAACTCAGTTTTATCCGAAAACTGCCTCTGATCTCTCTCTCTCTCTCTCTCTCTCTCTCTCTCTCTCTCTCTCTCTCTCTCTCTCTCTCTCTCTCTCTCT